GACAGATGGGGGAAGGGTCCACAGCCCCTGAGAGTGGGGCACAACCAGATCCTGACAGGACTTTCCACCCCCCCGTCCCTTACAGGCTGGTGTAGGGGTGTCCACGCTGTGCCTTAGACCTCACACAACCCCACCCAGTTGCTGAGAGAGGGAGCAACAAGGGGTTGACCCAACGAGGAATCCTTTCCCATCGGAGAAACCTAGTGGTGGGGCCAGGGACCTGGGAGAATCCAGGCGGACTGGGGTTCCTGCAGGATGGAAGAGCAGCCCCTCCCAGGGGAGGGGAGCAGTGTGGATGGGGTGTGGCCACCAGAGGTCTCTCTGTTTTGCAGCTGTAGGTGTGTGAAGGCAGGAGGCATCTGGGGTAGGTGGGGACTGTGGGGTAGTATTCCCAGGGGACACATCTTGAGCCTTGGCAGGTGAGGGTGCTTCAACTTCTGAGAATATTCTAGAAGAGCTGTAGGTAGTTTGGGCAATGAGGGACTTGAGGGCACAGAGGGGCAGGGTCAAAGGGCATCAGGGTTGAGGGACCAGGAAGACATTCAGGCCAGCTGTGCAGAGACCACCAAAGAGCAGAGGTCCTGGCACAGGGCAGCTCCAGGCTGGGCCCCCTGCCCCTGCCCTTCCCAATACCCTGACCCCATTGCTGACCCTACTCAGCCCCCACGCAGAAAGCCAGGGTGTGGGCATAGGAGGGTGGGGATTGGAAGGACCTAGAAGAAAAGATCAGAGGCCATTTCTTGTCCCTTCCCAAGGGGCTCACTCCTTCCCACACCCACGACTTCTGAACTAAGAATCCTGCTGTGAAAAGCCAGACCGGGAGCATGGCGGGCATTCTCCCAGACCTTTGCCGCCTGACACCTGAAGGCTTGTTAGGAACTGCAGTCCCAGGCCCCCTCAGACCTGCTGGGCCAGGCTCTGCTTTCTTAGCAGGATGCCCAGGAGGACACACATGTTTGAGAGGTGCAAGGTGGACCCTGCTGACCCCCCCCCCCCCCCCCACTGAGGCAAGCGCCTTAGCTGTGCTCATCAGCAGCTCTTCCCGGAGGTCCTGCCCCAGGGGGACCTGGGAGATGTCTGGGGACATGTGTAGTTTTCATGACTGGGGATGCTCCTGGCGCCAAGTGGGTGGCCTGGGGTGCTGTTTACCCTCCACAGGTGGTTCCTCCATAAAGAACATTATGACCCCTAACTGTCCACCGTTTCCTTTTAATATTGACTTACTCTCCACCAACCAGATCTGAAATAGCATGGGTGACATGTACACATAAGGAACTATTTGATATTGAAATTGGGACTCAAAAGAACTGTTGGCCCAGAAAGGAACTCACTACAGACTGGTTCATTTGCCTCTCAGCATAACCATTATGGCTTGTCGCAGTTTAGGTTCTTACAAGGGTATTTCTTGGATCACATGATCTCACACACCTAGAGGAAATGATGAACAACATAAACTGAAGAACAAAAATAGACTCAGAGAACGAGAAACAGCGATCATACTCTCAAACCTCAGAGGGAAGGTAGGGGAGGGTGGAGGTAAGGGGAAGAGATCAACCAAAGGACTTGTGTGCATACATATGGGCCTGGCCAGTGGCCATGGACAACGGGGGGGTGAGGGCATATGTAGGGAGGGGTTTGGGATGGGAATGGGGGGATGGGGACAATTATGTGATACCATAATCAATAAAAAATATTAATAAATAATGTTGACTTACTCAAGCTCCTGTAAGCATTTTGAGAAACTCTCTTCTGGAAGATGAACCCCGGGGCAGGTGAATGAGGAAACAGGTTCAGGGAGCCAAGCGACTTCCGGGAAGCCTCCCAGCCCCTGGCTCCCACCCCAGGCTCTGCCCCCAGCCTCGGTGCTGCAGCCTCAGTAACAGCAGCCCAAGCCACGGGCCTCCTGCAACGATGCCCAGCTGACCAGGCTTCCTCTGGCTAATAACAAGTCAGAAAATCGGCCTCCTGGGTTCCAAGCAGACAGCCCTGGACGTTTTCTCTGCTGTGACCTATTCCCTGATACAGCTGAGGTGTATCAGCCGGTCAGGGAGTAAACTCCAGAAATGAGTATCACTGAGGAGGTGGAGTGCTGATTTACATTCCTGGAGGTCACTCTCAGGCTACACTGGGACCCTCCGTGCCTCGCCCCCAGTTTGTTTTGTGTGCTCAGTAAGAGTGTGAGAAATTCATCTTTGGCTCACGGGAGGGCTGGTGAGTTCTAGTTCTCATTCTTTTAGAATAAGATATGTTTTTATTGAGTTTGAGAGGAAGGAAGAGAGAAAGATAAACATCAGTGATGAGAATCATTGATTGGCTGCCTCCTGCACACCCCACACTGGGGATTGAGCCCACAACCTGCCCCACGCGACCGGAAATGGAATCATGTCCTCCTGGTTCATAGGTTCATTGGGCCACACTGGCCGGACTATTTTTATTCTTTTTAATGACTCTCCAGCATATCAGAGGCTCACAGGGCTTCGAGCATCCTGATTGGGTCTCCATGGAGACCGAACCTGTCTTGGCCCAGCTCCACCAGCCCAGCCTGGGGCTGCAAGCTGAGAATCAGGGACCAGGAGTGGCTCTGCTCCTCACCTAAACCTGGCATCCAGCTCCCATCTGGGATGGGCAGGTGGCTGCCTGTAACAGTCATGACAGCCATTTATTGAGCACTAAGGATGTCCTAGGTCTATGCTAAGCCTCACCTATGAATTCATCAAATCCACCCTGAAGCCAAGGGCTACATCCTATTCTCTCTCTAGTCTCATTTGGCAAATAAAGAAACCAAGGCTTGGCTGCCTAGAGTGTGGGAAAGAGTGTGGGCTGGTGGCAGTGTGCTGTGCTCTGGGGTCAGGCTGGCTAGGTTCAAATCCTAGAACTCTCACTGTGCAACCTTGCAAAAGTGACTTGGGCCTTAGTTTGCCTCTCTGTAATGTGGGTATAGAACAGTATTTACCTTTTAATGGTTGCTAGGAGGAATGGACAGGGACCAGGGTGAGCTCACCTGAGGAGCAAAGTTTAAGGGGGCACCAAAAAACATAGTCATCATGGTAAAGGATATTTAATTTAATTTATTTATATATATTATTATTTTTTAAATCTTCACCCAAGCATATTTTTCCCCATTGATTTTTAGAGAGAGTAGAAGGGAGAGAGGAGGGAGGAGAGAGAAAGATAGAAACATTGATGTGAAAGAGACACATTAATTGGTTGTCTTCCACATGTGCCCCGGGACAGGGATCAAACCTGAGCTCCTTCGGTCCCCAGGCCAACACTCTAACCACTGAGCAAACAGTCCAAGGCAAGATAAAGAGTATTTCAATGCAATTTTTTTAAAAATATATTTTTATTGATTTCAGAGAGGACAGGAGAGGGAGAGATAGAAACATCAATGATGAGAGAGAATTCTTGGTTGGCTGCCACCTGAATTTCCCCCTCCCATTGGGGGTTGAACCCACAACTCAAGCATGTGCCCTGATAGGGAATTGAACCATGACCTCCTGGTTCATAGATTGACGCTCAATTACTGAGCTATGCTGGCTAGGCTAATGCAGTATTTTTTTAAAACTAAAATTAATATTCCCCAAGTTCATGATGAATAAAATGTCAACATTTTAAATGGACAGAATCAGTATTACTGAATTTTCCTTTGGCTCAGCACTGCATTGTTACTGATTTTGTCTTTGTTTTAAAATAAAGAAAAGCAATTAAAGTTAAATTCAGAATTGGTAGACTGCCCCCCCCCCCCATACCCTTGCTCAGTCGGCACTTTCCTGTTAGAGTCTCCTTGAAGTCCCTCTAACCTGCCAGGATGCTTCCTTGCACTTGCTGCCCCAGTCTCATCTCAGCTCCCAGTCCAAGCTCTGCTATCAGCCTTCCCTGAGTTTGCCTCCTAAAGGCTTCCCTCCACCCATTCAGCTGCTCCTTTCATTGTGTTTTTTCATGGTGCAAGCGTATCTTGTTTATTTACTTGTAACCACCCCAGGGTTTGTTATGTGGATTGAATGAGTTTGTGCATGTCAAGAACTTAGCCCAGAGCCAGGTGCCTAGAAAGAGCTCTGCACTTTATCGGTAACATATAAATATACAATATATTACACTTAAATTACATTAAATGGTTATAAATATTATGGAGGGGAAAGGAAGCCTGAGAAATGAGGTGACGGTGGCTGGACAATTTTAGGTAGAATGGACAGAGAAAGTGTTGAGGGGTTGAAGGAGAAAGCCGTGCACCATTTGGGGGAGGGGTATTCAGGCGGAGGGCACGGCTTGTGCCACGTCTCTAGGGCAGGGTGGTGCCTGGTGTGTTGGAGGAAAGGCCAGGAGGTCCCTGTGGCTGGAGCAAGTGAGCAAGGGGGAGAGAGGGAGGAGGCGAGGGTAGGGAGGGGTCTGGGGCAGGCTGTGAAGGACATTGGGGGCTGCCCAGAGGACTTTGTCTTAATTTTAGGACATTCTTGGAGAGTTTTAAGCATGGTGTCCATAGAGTTCTTTGCCCAAATGCATCAATATCTTGTGAACTTATTTTGAACACTGTGTGCTCATAGCAAGTGTGACAAAGATGCTAGTCCTGGTTGTTGATGTAGCAAACACGATTCCTATATATGTTCAGTAAGTTATCAACTTAAAAGTGCTGAGCACAGGGCCTGTGTTATCAGAACTTGTTCTTTCGTTGTTATTGATGAGTTGTGGTCTCAAAAGTGGCAAGAACAGCCCAGCTAAGGAGAAGCTCTACTTTTAGTGATTTTTCCTGTTGTTATCAGTTGAAGGAGCCAGTGACACCTGGAAGTCAGGTCTGTGCTGCTCGAAGCCCCGCCGTCGCCCACCCAGAAGGCGGGGTTTGCGGGGGCCCGTGGCCTCAATCACCCAACTGGACTGGGCTCCAGAACACGGGATGTGGATTGAGGGGTGAGGAGGGCAGAATGCGCGGGCTGGCTACGCGCGCGCTGGCCTCCAGGGGCCGCTGCGGAGGCGCCCTTTTGTGGTCCTGATGCTGGAGCGAGCGGGCGCGGAGGAGGGAGGAGGGCGCGGGGACCGGGCGGGAGGGAGGCGGGAGGCGGCGTCCGTCGTTGTAGCTGTGAGTCCGCCCGCCGCCCGCCGCCGCCGGCTCGGTCCCGCGCCCGCCGCCCGCCTTCGCCCGTCATGGCCCGCCTCACGGAGAGCGAGGCGCGCCGGCAGCAGCAGCAGCTCCTGCAGCCGCGGCCCTCGCCGGTGGGCAGCAGCGGGCCCGAGCCCCCCGGGGGGCAGCCCGACGGCATGAAGGACCTGGACGCCATCAAGCTCTTCGTGGGCCAGATCCCACGCAACCTGGACGAGAAGGACCTCAAGCCGCTGTTCGAGCAGTTCGGCCGCATTTATGAGCTCACGGTGCTCAAAGACCCTTACACGGGCATGCACAAAGGTGGGCGCCCCGGCCCCCTCCCTCCCTCCCTTCTCTCCACCCCACCTTCCGGCATCTCCTCTCCCCCAGCCCTCCCCCCCGCCCCCCCCCTGCTCCCAACCACCTCCCTCCACTTGCCTCTGCCACGGCATCATTTCTCCCCCCTTCCACCCACCCTCTCCTCCTCCCTCTGGGGGTGCAGCTGACAGATCCGATCTGGCCCCCTCCCCTCCTCCGCCCCCTCTCCCTCCCTCTCCACCTTCCGGCATCCTCTCTCTCTCTCTCTCTCTCTCTCTCTCTCTCCCTTTCTCTACTCTCCCATCTCCCTTTACCTCCCATACTCCACCCCCCAAGCATCTCTCTCTCTCTCCCCTCCCGTTCCCCCTAACCCCCACCCTTCCTCCCTCCCTCACCCACTCTTTCCTGCCCCTTTGCTGGGGGAGCTGCCTGAATACCACCACCTCTCCCCGCTCCCCCCATTCATTCGGCCTCCCCAGGCCCCGTCGGGGAACTTTGCGCCTCTGGACTCCATTGCTTTGGCCATTTTCACAAAGCCAGGCCGGTGGGCAGGGCCAGCTGGCCTCCGGGACATACGGATGCCCAGGACCCCGGGCTAATCGGTAACTACAAAGAAAGCAAGAGGGGGGTGGGGGGCGCAGGGAGCCGAGCCAGGCTGAGGGGGGACCACCAGCCTCCAGCGGCTCAAATGCTACCGTTACCCTCCCCCCTGCCCACCCTCTCTGTTTGGATCAGCAACCCCCTTCCATCTCTCTGCCCTCCCCCCCCCCTGCCTCCACCTTTGGCTCAAGTTAAAACTAGCCGATCCGTTAGCAATGTGTTGAGGTCTGAGGCCAATGATGATGAGTCCGGGCTGTCCATCTGGCAGAGCTCAGATCCTGGGGTGGACAGGGGCGGTGTGGGCGGCCTGCAAATCCAGCGGGGAGGCAGGCTGGGTGGGGGGGACTGCCCGCCTCCCTCCTACCTGATTCTCTCTCTGGTGGCGTGCTGGGCACAGGTGCCAGGGACTGTGGCCCTAGCCCTGGACTCTGATCATAAGCACAGTCTCAGCCGAGGCGGTGCTGAAGGCTCTTCTGTTGGCTGTTGGGGGCTGGGGTTGGAGATGGCAAAGGCTTGCATGGAATACTGGTGGCAAGATCCTGGAGGGACCTTAGGGGTGGGCCAGCGCCCATGACCTATTTCAGAATCATTTATCTCCATCCTCCCCTCGGTGTTTCAGCATGGCAATCATTAATACATGTTTGTTGAATGAATGAATGAATGAATGAATGAGAGTCTGGTAGGATGGAGTCCAGGCCTGTCATTTTAGCTAGACCTCAGCTGATACCCTACACCCTTAACCCCCCCACACCCTTAACCTTTATTGGACTCTGTCATCACAAAAAGAAGGGGGCCTGAGAAATCTAACTGTGGCCTAGGAGGACAGAGGGCTCACTCTTGCCCACGAATCCAGCTCAGGAACCCACAGCTCTCCAGAGGGCTCTGACTTCATTGCTTTGGTCATTTTCTGGCATGTCTGAAGAGCCCATTTCTAGAAAAATTCTGATGGGAATCAGGGGGTGCCCATGTGGCCCCCTGAATGTTGTGCTGGAAGGCTGCTGGCGAGCTCTGGGGCAGGGAAGCAAATGGGCTGCAGAGGCGCCCCCTCCTCATTTTCAGATTTCCCCTGGGAACCCTCTCCCCAAGCGAGAAGAGATAGACGAGAGGATGGAGCCACAGCCCAGGTTCACCTGGGCCAGAGCCTCAGTTTCCCCTCTGTTAACAAAGCAGGGCCCCATGAATGTGGGGTTGGTTTTTTTCTGGCTGGAGAATGTTGAGATGGCGGGGGGAGGGGCGTTCAGGGTCTTTCCCATTTCCCATCTTTCCTTGGAAGCTTAAAATTAGGAAGCAGGGTGTCCATGACACTCAGTCCTCATCCTCCTCTTCACAGGGCCCTGGGCCAATCTGAGCCCTGGATGTAGGGCCTGAGGGTAACAAGAGGGTGGGGGGCTTTCTCTCCTCTCTGCCCTCACCCAGCACCATCAGGTCAAGAACAGATCCCCCTCCTGGTCCCACCTGGTCCTGGGCTGGAGGGACCTCACTGTGGGAGGCAAGCTGGAGGTGGGGGTGTCCTGAGTGCCAACAGCTGGGATGGAGGCCTGTGTGGCCTCTGGCCAGTGGCTTCCCCTCTCGGGGCCTCAAGCAAAGGGAAGTGGATTGATGAATGGGATGAGGGGGGAGGGGAAGACCAGGTACCTCCCAGAGAACACAGCTGGTGTCATTTCCGGAGAACCAACTGCCATCTAACTCCTCCACGTGGCCTAGGAGTGCGGCAGGTGTGAGGGGTCTGGGCCCAGTGGTGGAGAGAAGCTCCCCTTTCGCCCAGCCTTCTGGGCCCCTGGATGCTGGGAGAATCCCATGAGGCTGGGCATCAGGTCAGCTGAAAGGGCCAGAATGACGTTAAGTCAGAACATCCATTGAGGTCACCGTGCCCCCCACCCTCCAGCATTGTCATTATCCTCACGACCGTCTCGTCCTTCCGTCCACATTCAGGCTCCTGTTGGATCTCTCCCTGAGGGAGATTGTGAGCACCACCACCCAGCCAGGAGCTCAGGCCAGGAACTGAGGGCTGGACTAGGCTCGCAGTGGCCAGTGTCCAGCCATCAGCTCCTTCCAGTAGCCTGATGGTCGACAGCCACCAACCCCCCTCGCTCTGAGGGGGCTGGGTGCCTGTAGGAGCCCTGAGGTGTCCCTCTTCCTTAATCAGGGCTGAATATTAATGCCCGTCCTGGCGATAGGGTTTGCCGGCCGCTGCCTTGTGGCCCCCCCTTTATGGTAATCACATATGCATTTGCATGTTAATGACAATATTTATCTTAAAATGGAGGTTGTGAGGGGGGCCGGTGTAGTATGGGGGTTTAGGGGGGCCTGTGGTTTCCATGGGAGCACCAGCTGCTCTGCTCGGTGGCGGAAGGGGAGGCTGGAGCACGCTGAGCTCAGAGGCGTGAGATTCCGAGTGTGACGTGCCAGCCCCAGGGAGACAGCGGGCTGGGCTGCTGGCAGGCACCGCCTGGGGAGGGGGACGGAGGGAGGAGTCCTTTCCCTGTGGCATCGCAGGGCGCAGTGGCTGGGGGAGGGGGCTGAGCAGAAGCCACCGGGACTGGCCATGTGGCTTTGAGGCAAGTGGGCTGCTCTGTGCCTCTGTTTCCCCAGCTGCCCACTCTTCATTGATTTAACAGGCTTTTATGAGGCCCCTGGGGCCTTACAAGGTGAATCTCTTCTGCCCTCCTTCAGGCAGAGGACATTAAGGGAGCACCTACTGTGTGGCCCTATTTGAGCACAGCTGGAATTTCACGCGCACGGGAATCTCTATGGGAGTGAGCAATACGTGAATCCATTACTACACGTAGGACTATTGAGCACTTGCTGTGTGCCAGGCCTGGTACACAATGTTGGACACAACAGACAGATGCCCCCCGCAGACCCCTCCTCGGGTCAGAACCAGTCTGGTGGGAGGGGGGCGGGACACAGAGTTGATGTCAAGGCTGTGATGGCAGAAACACACACCTGTAGGGAGAACCTAGAGGAGGCTCTGCCCTCGAATGTGTGGAGGGCAAGAGGACTTCCTGGAGGCGGCGGCCAGTGTGGGAGAGCAGTTAAGAGCTTAACAGTAAGATGGGTCGGCTTCTCTGCATCTTCCCGGCTATGTGGGCTCGGCGGGCACCTTGGTCTCTCCAAGCCCCAGCTTTGTCACCGATGGAACTGAGAGGCCAGAGTTGCCTCGCATCTCAGGGCAGTTGGGGAAGGTGAGGATGGGATGGCAGTTAACGCTTTTGGCACAGAGTTCATGCTTGGCCAGTGGCAGTTGGGCGTATTACGAGATTAAGCCGAGACCTGAAGTGTAAGGAAGATCTGGTGAGGGAGGAAGATATTCCTGGTGGAGAGAACAGCATGCACAAAGGCCCAGAGGCACACTGATTCTGGTGGCTTCAGGTGGGGAGGATGGAGCTTTTGTCCTGGTGGGAGAGGAGCAAAGGGCCTTTGGAGCCCCAGAGCCCCCTTCTGATGTGGGGCTTACGTAGCAAGTCTCTTCTGAGAAGTTCTGCCATTAGAGTTGGACTCAGGAGTTATCTCGGAAATAGGGTTGAGGGAACTGGATAGGGAAACAGGAAATCCTGCTGCATGGAAGATGGGCATTTTAACTGGGGCTTTGAAGGATTAATAAGAGCTTGTCAAGTGGAGAAAACATTTCATTTATTTGTTAACAGAAGTACTTAGTGTTCTGGGCCCTATGATGAGTGTGAAATATAGGAGCGAGTCAGCTAGATGGATGTTTCCGTCCTTATGGATATGGGCAGAAGGAACTGGGTTTGCAAAGTCCTGGAGGTATGAAGGGGCCCAGCTGAAGTTGAGGAGGAGTTAAGTGAGACACAGGAGATGAGGCCAGAGGATCAGCATGGACTGGACCCTGAAGAGCCTTTGATGCTAAACTGAGCTTGGATTCTCTCCTGAGGGCACTTGGGAGCCATGAAAGAATTTAGAGCAGTGGAGGATCTCAGTTAGTCCTGCATGGAAAGGGAGTTTTATGTCTTATTACCCTCCAGTGCCACCACCAGCCTCTCACCAGCCTCCCAGCCTTATTCAGAATATGCCCATTTCCTGCACACCTGCATGGATAAAATGGAGGTCCACATAATGTAGGAAGAGAGGAATATAAGGGAACAGAATGTGTTCCGGTTGCAGTGGTTCTTAGAGAACCAGGTTCCCCTCTTCCACATGCATCAGGTGAGGAATTTGGGCTCAGAGAGGGCCAACACCCAGCACCAAGTCACACAGCAATAGAGCCAGGCATCCCACCTCCCAGCCTGTGCCTGGCCACTTGGGAAGAATGATAGAGGAGGCAGAGAAAGAGATGTGATTGTGAGATGTAGACTCATGATGAAAGCTTTCCGGGAGGCTGGCTGTTCTGGGAATGAAGGGAACCAAGGCCAGAGGGAGGGGCTGCTGGATCTGGGAGACACTGA